CAAGGCCAGCCTGGTCTACATAGTGAGTTCCAGGACATCTGGGGCTACAGGGAGACCAGGCTTCAAAAAGACAAAAATAAATAAAAATAATAAAATAAAACATTGAGCAAAAGAAGAAGGAGCAGCATAGAGAAGTCCCAGTAGAAACAGAAAAAAACAGCCCATGAAATAAAATCCTAGAGAAGCTAAATTTGGAAATAGCAAACAAGAAAAATCTAAGAAGTAGGGCTGAAAATCAATTAATTAAAAGACTCTTGGTCGCCGGGCGTGGTGATACAAGCCTTTAATCCCAGCACTCTGGAGGCAGAGGTAGGCGGATCTCTGTGAGTTCAAGGCCAGCCTGGTTGGACAGCTGGGGCTACAGGGAGACCCTGTCTCAAAAAGACCAAAAAAAAACAAAAAAAAAAAAAAAAAAAAGATTCTTGGTCAGTATGTATGGCAAAGTGCATAGGGTTCAGTGGAGGGATGAGGGAGGATGGATGGAGGAGGGGGTCTGGATTTGAGTGGAAAACGTATGAAATTTAAAAAGCTCAATAATAAGCCAGGCGTGGTGGTACTTGGCTGTAGTCCCAGCACTTGGGAGGCAGAGGCAGGTGGATCCCTGTGAGTTCAAGGCCAGCCAAGTCTACATAGTGAGTTCCAGGACAGCTGAGGCTACAGGGAGACCCTGTCTCAAAAACAAAAAAGATCAATAAAAAGAAAGAAAGTTTCTTGGGTGGGGGGGCTAGACAGATGGCTCAGTGGTTAAGAGTACCGGCTGCTCTTACAGAGGAACTGGGTTCGGTTCCCAGCACCAACAAGGTGGCAAACAACCGTCTTCATTAACTCCAGTTCCAGGGGAACCAATGCCCAATTCTGACCTCCATGGGTCCTGTACAATATGAGTACACTTACATACATGTAGGCAATACACTTATACACATAAAAAATACAAAAATTTTTTTGAAAAAGTCTCTTGCCAGGAATGATGGCACACACCTTTAATCACAGTGGTCAGGAGGCAGTCAGTTATATCTCTGTGAGATCAAGGGTAACCTGGACTACATGGTGAGTTCCAGGCCAGCTAAAGGGAGACCCTGTCCCAAAATGACCAAAATAAGTCTCTGTACTCAACATTCCCCCGACCATTATCCAAACTTTTAAAATATATACCTAAAAGAATAAAATGTGCATTTTTTATAAACCCACCAAAGAATACTATATAATTAGAGATGGTGCTGTGAGTACTGGTTCCAAAAGTAGTTGTTTCTTCATTTTGGCTGGGGATGCTGAGACAGGCAAATCCCTGAAGCTCTATGGTCATCCAGCCTAGCTGAATCAATGAGCTTCGAGTTCTTTAGAGACCCTGTCTAAAAAACTAAGGTGGAGAGCACACACCTTAAATCCTAGCACTTGAAAGGTAGGTAGTCTCTAAGTTTGAGGCCAGCCTGATCTATGTAGTGAATTCTAAGCCAGCCAGAGCTATATAGTGATAGTCCCTGTCCCCCAACACCCACACACACACACCAAAAAGGTGGAAAGTGATTAAAGATACTTATTGTCAATCCCTGGCCTACACATGCAAACAAGCACCTAGATGTACATATACACAAGTACACAAAACACAGACATAGACACACACAGATTCTAAGAGTAGACACACAGAGATTCTAAGAGTAGATTCTAAGTGCTTTAACCACAAAGTCATGAGGTGATGCTGTTAATTAGTCCAAGTCAGCCATTCCATAATGTGTATGTATTTAAACATGCTAAATTATTTCTGTTAAAAAATAGGGATATGGGGCTGACGAGATGGCTCAGTGGTTAAGAGCACTGACTGCTCCAGCAGAGGACTCAGGTTCGATTCCCAACACCCACATGGTAGTTAACAACTATCTATAGCTCCAATTCCAGGAGATCTGACATCTTCTTCTGACCTCCATGGGCACTGCACAACATAGGTGCACTTATACACATGCAGGCAATAGACTATACACATAAAATAAAAATAAATTAGTAAAAATTAAAAAATTAAAAATAGAAATATTAAACAGAGTACACACACACACACACACACACACACACACACACACATACACACAAATTTCAAGTTGAATTTTATTAAGACAGAGAAAGGGGAAAAGACTGGAGGTAGCTCTGGGGGAAGCAAACATCTTACCGCAGCATCAACATTAGCAGGCGAGTCTCCATTAGGGTCTGCCAGCATCGAAATGACACTAATCATGATGGTTTCCACAGTATGGATAGGCAACCAGCGTTCCTCTGGCTTCTCATAGCCATATTTATCTTCGCCAGGCTCATGAAGAATAGAAATGCACACATCACCATTTTTATCAACTGTAAAATTAGAGAATAAGAATTAATATAATTGGTGGAACAAAATATCATACTGATCCACACAGTACATGTATAAAACTTTTATTTTACTTATATGTAGACTTCCCAAATGGTAGAGGATGACAATGAGGGGGTTAACTCAGTGGTAGAGTGCTTGCCCAGCAAGCACAGAGTCCTAGGGCTCTACCTCTAGCATCCCATAAATCAGGTGACTCATGCCTGTAATGCCAGAACTCAAGAGGTGGAGGCAGGAGTTAAAGGCCATCCTTAGCTACACAGTAAGAATGAGGCCAGCCTGTAATAAATGAGACTTTATCAAAAGAAAGGGAGGGAGGGAAAGTATATATACCATTATCTAAACTCAAAATCTTTTACCATTATTTCAAGTAGTCAAGTTTTGTTTAAAATAAGTCTTTAGCATTAATACTTAGATACTAAATATTTGTCAACATGATTTTTAATTGTTATTGTGGTGAAATCGGCACAGCATGAAATTTACAATTTCAACTATTTCTGTGACACGCAATTATATCTACCACTCATTTTCCCTAATTGAAACTCTGTATTCAAAAACAAACTCTTCACTTTCCCTGTAATTCCTAAGGCCCTGGGACCCCAAGCCCCTTCCTCTCTATTGAAGAATCTCATAAAGCAGAATCACACATTTTGTGCCTGACACAGTTCTCCTAGGATAATAAAATGTCTTCAAAGGTTCATCCATTAAATGGATGGGAGACAACATTCCTACATTCCGAGATCACGTTTCCAAGGTCAGAATTAAAATCATGCCAAATCAACCTTTCCTTTGATTGAAAGGAAATGGGTCATCCTGTAGCTCCAGCTAGCCTGAAACTTGCTATACAAACAAAGCTGGCCTCAATATAGTGGAGATCTGAAATTACTTCCAGAATGCTGGAACCAAAGGCAAGCACTAGCACACCCAGCCAAGCCCCTCCACCATTATAATTTTTGACAGCCTCTAAAATTCACCTATTTGATGTATACAATTTAATGGTGTCTGTCTGAGTGATACAATCACAACCACACTGAATACTAGAAAACTTTCATGAAAACACTGTACCACTAAGAATCACTCCTTACTTTCCCCCAATATCCTTCCTTTCCTAGGAAACCAGTACTATACTTTGAATCTACAGTTGGCTATTCTAGACATTTCACTTAAATGAAATTACCAAGTGATCTTCTTAGGGTGGCTTTACTTAACACCATGTTTCCAGGGTTTATCAACATCTCCTTCCCTCCCTCCTTCCTTCCTTTCTTTCCTTCCTTCCTTCCTTCTTTTTTTTTTTTAATTATCTACTTACCAAATGGGGATGCTGGGAATTGAAGTTGTGTCCTCTGTAAAAGCATTACCAGTTCTTAACCACTAAGCCATCTTTAGACTGTCAATACTTCTTATGTTGCCAAATTATATTACATTATATGTATCTGCTACATTAAAAAGTATTTTATAAGTCAGGTGCTGTGGCACACGCCTTTAATCCCAGCTCTCGGGAAGCAGAGGCAGGCGGATCCCTGTGAGTTCAAGGCCAGCCTGGTCTATATAGTGAGTTTCAGGGCAGCTGGGGCTACAGGGAGACCCTGTCTCAAAAAGACCAAAAAATATATATATATTTATTTATTATTTTATTTTATGTGTATATGCATGTATTGTCTGCATGTATGTAAGTGCACCCATGTCATGCAATGCCCATGGAGGACAGAAGAGGCAGTCGGATCCCATGAAACTAGAGTTATGGATAGTTAGGTGTTAGCTGCCATATGGGTGCTGGGATTCAAACCCAGGTCTTCTACAAGAATTAACAGTGTTCTTAGCCACTGAGTCATCTCTCCAGCCTGTATCTGCTACATTTTGTTTTCCTGATGAACTGGTACTATTGCTACTTTTGGGGTAATAGGAATGGTGCTGCTATGAATTAGATATTGGAACACGTCTTTTCAATTTTCTTAGGTATATTTGTACCCAGGGTTAGGTAAGATGTATGCACCACCACACCCATTTTATGCAATGCTGAGGATCAAATCCAGTACTTGAGCACTCTACCAACTGAGCTATTATCCCCAACCAAGAGACCCCATCTTTAAAAGATTAAAAATTAAAAATAGGGCCAGGTGCAGTGGTGACACGCCTTTAATCCCAGCACAGAGGCAGGCAGATCTCTTGTTGAGTTCAAGGCAGGCCTGGTTTACATCATAGTGAGTTCCAGGTCAACTGGGGCTAAAAGGAGTTCCTATCTCGAAAATATGAAAAAAAAAAAAGGATGTCTTGGCTGGGCATGGTGGCACACACCTTCAGTCCCAGGCAGAGGCAGGGGGATGTCTGTCTAGCCTGGTCTACATAGTAAGTTCCAGACTAGCTGGGGCTACAGGGAGACCCTGTCTCAAAAAGACCAAAACAAGAATGAAAAAATAGCTCCATAATTCTGTACTCCTACCACCATAGGCATGTCATGGCACACATGTTCTTCTTCCCAAATACACATACACACATAAATAAGTAAAAATAAATAAATAATAATAAAGACACGTACTGTGTTAGCTCATGCCTGTAAGTCAAGTACTCAGGAGGCTAAGGCAGGATCACCCTAAGTTCAAGGTTAGCATGGGCTATATACATAATGATTTCCAGACCAGGCTAGCATAAACAGTGAAATTCTGTCTCTCAAAAACTGCCACTCCCTCTCCTCAAAAAAAGGGGAAAATTACATAAATAAATAAAAAATAACCTTTCTATTTGATTGCTGTCACTCTTTTTAAGAGTCTAGTACAAGGTCATATGCTCTACAAACTGAAATTCCAAAGCAATTTCACTGAAAATGATATCTTTCTTAGTGCATTTGAACTCTTTAGTGGTAAGTCATCATATTTGCAAATCTAAAAGTAAAACCAGAAAAACTTACCATTTGGGTGCCAGATTTCTGTAATGAATTTCATTTTTGGAGGCCGGAGAGGATAATCTTTTGGGAAAGTGAGATGAGCTTTAAAAACACCACCTTCACTGGAAAAAAGAAAAGCAAGTTCTTGCCTATAAATTACTCTTTAAAAGTATATAGACAAATAAAAACAAGAGTGCAGGATATAATACAAAAATTGATGACATATAATCTTGAGTCCCTGTGTATACAGTTTTTTAAAAATATTTTAGTATTTTTAATTTATGTGTATGAGTGTATTGCCTACATATATGTGAGTACACCCGTGTTGTGCAATGCCACAGAGGTCAGAAGAGGACATTGAATTCCCCTGGAACTGGAGTTAAGGACGGTTCGTAGCTGCCATGTGGGTGCTGGGAATCGAACCCTGGTCCTTTGCAAGAGCAGTCAGTGCTCTTAACTGCTGAGCCATCTCTCCAGCCCCCAAGTCCCTGTGTACACAGTTTTATAAACTATCACAAATGCTTTTTTAAACTCTCAAGAAGGCTAGTAAACCCTGGTTTCAAACTATCATTCTTTTCTCAGTTCTGGCCAGTCTTCTTTCAGTTACTCAAACACATCAAGCTTTTTCTCATTTCAAACTTTAGGTATACTCTGTTGTTCTCTGTCTGAGAGCAGATGTGCCAGTTCTATCATCCACTTATTTATTAATTTCATCATACAATAAATATTTAGCACTTAATGTATCAAACATTAGGAGTTTAACAATAAAAACACAAACTCTCAGGAAGTTCATATTCTATTGACTGTCCAGAGCGGTCCCTGAGAGAGACCTTTCTACAACAATGATACTGTTCTATGTTTGTGCTATCCAATATGTATCTACTAACCATGTGTTTTATGGTTTGTGTCCTGGTTAGCTTTTACTGTCAACTTGACCTAACCTATAGTCATCTGGGAAGAGAGAACCTCAACTGAAGAAATATTTCCATCAGATTAGCCTGTGGCCATGTCTGTGATAGAATGTCTTGATTGATGATAGGTATGGCATGTCCATGCCACTGTGAACAGCACAGTGCCTAAGCAGGTAGGCCTAGGCTATATAATAAGCAACTTGAGGGCTGGAGAGATGGCTCAGTGGTTAAGAGCACTGACAGTTCTTGCTAACAACAGTCCCTAAATCCAGTCCCAGGGGATCTGAAGCCCTCTTCTGACCTCTACAGGCACTGTATGACATGGGTGTGCTTACATACATGCAGGCAATACACTCATACACAAAAAATAAAAATAATACTTTTTAAAAGAAGCAAGTCGGGCATGGTGGCGCACTCCAGTAGTCCTAGCACTTGGGAGGCAAAGGCAGGTGGATCTCTGTGAGTTCAAGGCCAGCCTGGTCTACATAGTGAGTTCCAGGACAGCTGGGGCTACAGGGAGACCCTGCTTCAAAAAGACCCCCCCCCCTAAAAGAAGCAAGTTGAACATGAGCCAGTAAGTAAGCCAGTGAGCAGATTCCTCCATGGTTTTTGCTTCTGTTCCTTCCTTTAAGTTCCTCCCCTGATTTTTCTCAATGATGGAGTTTAAGTTTAGGCCAAACAAACTTTTTCCTCTCCAACTTGCTATTAACAGTGCTTTTATCAAAGCAACAGAAAAAAACACTAGAACAGCTTGTAAAACTGAGCAACTGACTTTTAAAGTTTAACTTTAACAGCTACTTGGGGCTAGTGACTGCTATATCAACACTGCAATTGCAGATCAATGCCATTTAACTGTGAATAATTTTCTTTTTGACATTTAACTACATGTTGGGGTCAGAGGACAACTTAAGGAAATCAGTTGTTTCCTTCTACGCTGTGAGTTCTAAAGATCAAACTCAGGACATCAGACTTGGCAGCACCTACCTTTATCCATGGAGGAATCATTCTTAATCATTTAAGACAACAATAGAAGTTGTATCTATTACCAACTAAAGCCATAGAGATCAAGTCAGTCTTAAAAGGCAAAAATGGGAGCTGGAGAGATGGCTTAGTGGTTAAAAACACTAGCTGTTCTTGCAGAAGACCCGGGTTCGAATGCTAGCACCCACATGGCAGCTAACAACTGTCTGTAACTCCAGGCCCAGGGGATCCGACAGCCTTTTCTGACCTCCATGGGCATTGCCCAACACAGGTGCACTTACCTACATGCAGGCAATACACGTATACACATAAGATGAAAATAATAAAATTTAAAAAAATTTTTTTTAAGTTTAAAAAGAAAAGCAAAACTCATTCAATTTCATGTCTTACAGGGTTTACAATGAATTCAATATTGTATAACTGTATTAATTCAACTGTGAACCTAAAAATTTTATAGCCACTTTTGAAAGAGATGTATCTTTGCTCTGGAAATTGTTATTAAGTATGTTAAAGCTGTAATGAAACGTTTCTTCTAAAAAATATATACACACATATATATATAAAAAAAACAAACAAAACCAAAATGAGCCAGGCATGATGGCGAACACCTTTGATCCCAACGCTCAGAGGCAGAGGCAGGCAGATCTCTGTGAGTCTACATAGCGAGTTCTAGGCCAGCTGTGGCTACAGGGAGACCCTGTCTCAAAAAGACCAAAAAAAAAAAAAAGCAAAAATGATTCAATGGTAAGGTACACCTGTCATCTCAGCACTCAAGAGATCAAAAGTCCAAGGTCAGTCTGGGATGTACAGGAAGACTCTCTCTCAAAAAGGTGTGTGTTAGCCAGGCCTGGTGGCGCACACCTTTAATCCCAGCACTTGGGAAGCAGAGGCAGGTGGATCTTTGTGAGTTTGAGACCCTGTCTCAAAAAAAAAGACCAAAAAAAAAAAGGTGTGTGTTGTAGGCTGGAGCTACTGTTCAGTGGTTAAGAACATTTACTGCTCTTTCAGACAGCCCAAGTTTGCTTCCCAAAACCCACATGGCAGTTAGCACCCATCTTTAACTCCAGTTCCAAGGGATCCAATGCCGTTTTCTGAACTCCATAGACACCAGACACACACATGGTACAATTACATACAGGCAAAACACTGGCACACATAAAACAATGAATAACGTTGTTTTTTTTTTTTTTGTCTTTTTGAGACAGGGTCTCCTTGTAGCCCCAGCTGTCCTGGACTCACTATGTAGACCCGGGCTGGCCTCGAACTTACAAAGATCCACCTGCCTCTGCCTTCCAAGTGCTGAGATTAATCAGAGATGTATGCCACCACGCCCGGCTGAATAACATTTAAAAAAAATAGAAGCAGGCAGATCTCTGTGAGTTCACGGTTAACCTGGTCTACAAAAGGAGTTCCAGGCCCGCTGGGGCTACAGGGAGACCCTGTCTCAAAAAGACCAAAAAGGTAAAAAAAATTTATTTTTCTTCTTTTATGTGTATGAGCGTACTGCCTGCATGTATATAAGTGTACCCACATCATGCAACGCCCACGGAGGTCTGAAGAAGGTGTGGGATCACCTGGAGCTCGAGTTACAGGTGACTGTTAGCAGTCAAGTGGGTGCTGGGACCAAACCCTGGTCCTCTCCAAGGGCAGCCAGTGCACTTAGATGGCACTGAGCCATCTCTCTAGTCCTATAAAATCTTTTTTTTTTTTTTTTTTTTTTTTTTTAAAAAAATTAGTGTGTGTTGGACTGGTGAGTTGGCTCAGCCTGATGATCTGAATTTCATCCCAGAATCTACCTATGAATAGAGGTAGATTGTCCTCTGACCTCCCTATATGTAGAGCAGCTTGAGTGCACACACACATACAAATAGTATATTTTAAAAATTTTAATGAAGTAGTTCATTACTATCAAATATTTCCAAATATTAGGAAAGAGCACCTGGGCTATCTACTAAGAAGTTACCACCTTGATTATACAACTTTGGTAAAAGCAGTAAGAAATAGGAAGCAGAGCAAGCCTGGTCTACATAGTGAATTCTCAGTCAGCTGAGGGCTACAGGGAGACCATCTCAAAAGGTAGTAAGAAAAGTTTCATGGAATCCAATGCTCTCTTCTGGCATCCCTGGACACGTGGTCCACATAAATTCATTCAGACACACAAACATAATGAATGATTTTTTTTTTTTTTTCTGGTCTTTTTGAGACATGGTCTCCTTGAAGCCCCAGCTGGCCATGAACCCACTATGTAAACTAGGCTGGCCTCGTACTCACAGAGATCCACCTGCCTCTGCCTCTTAAGTGCTGGGATTAAAGGTGTGCACCACTACATCCAGGCAGGAGCGCGCGTGTGCGCGCGTGCGTGCGTGCGTGCATAAGCCAAAGAACAGCCCTGGGTGCCAGTCATCCAATCAAACAAGAGTCTCTCAGTCTCTCAGGCATGTGCTCTCTCTCTCTCTCTCTCACTTTTTTTTTTTTCTTATTTTTTTGAGATAGGGTCTCCCCATAGCCCCAGCAGGCCTGAAACTTACTATGTGGACTAGGCAGGCCTTGATCTCATCAAGATCCCCCTGCAGGCCTCTAGAGTTTCATTTTTGTTCACCACTGTGCACATCAGGCTACAGGTGGCCCACAAGTTTCTAGGGATGTATTTCCACTTCCCATCTCACTACAGGACTATTAGGATTATTGACATGCATGTGTTACTGTGCCTTACATGGGTTCTGGAGATTTGAACTCAGGTTCTCATACTTGCGTATCAAGTGCTCAATCCACTGAGCCACCTTCCCAACCTGACGCATGAATGTTGGGAAGCCACAAATACAGGAAAATAGCCAAGACTATATGTAAGAAGACGTCAGAACAGCTGCCACAAAGTCCCTGCACTTTGACTGGTAAGGCTACGCCTTGACAATATGAAGTAAAGTTGCCCAGGTCACTCAACTTTGGTTGATTAGACTCATTCAAAAGAGGGCATTGGAATTGCAGTTACAGATGGTTATTTTCTGCCATATAGGTGCTAGGAACTGAACCCAGGAGTAAAGCCAGTGCACTTAACCACTGAGCCATCTCTTCAGTCCAAAATGCCAAATTTATATAATAATGTTGCCCTAAAGATTTAGCGCAAACAACTTTCTTCTTCTTCCTCCTCCTCTTTTTCTTTTTTGAGATAGGGTCTTACCATGTAGCCCTGAGTGGCCTGTAATTCCCTCTGTATATCCACCTGCCTCCCAAATACTAGGATTAAGGCATGTACCACCACACCCAGCAAAAAAAAATTTTTATAGACTCCCTTCCCATGTTACCAGGGGAAATTCTACCCCTCTAACCCCCCACCAAGGAAAAACTCAATAGCAGCCAATCTGTGGGTGTGCAAACTACCAACAGTCAAATTAGCACAGAAGAATATTCCCAAACCTCATAGGGCAAAATAACATAGGAAATTAAACATATTTACTGTGTTTCAAACACAAAGATGTAACTATGATGAGGGGCTGGTGAGATGGCTCAGTGGTTAAGAGCACTAGCACTGACTGCTTTTGCAGAGGACCAGGGTTCAAGTCCCTGAATCCACATGGTGGCTAACAACCATCTATAACTCGAGTTCCAGGGGAGCCAATGCCTTCTCCTGACCTCTGAGGGCGCACTTACACATGAAGGCAATACACTTATACACATAAAATGAAAATAATAAAATTTTTTAAAAACATGTAACTAATAAGTAAAATGAACATTATCTATCAATGAATTCAAAATATCTCACATTATATAAACTAATAGCACAATTTATCATGATGTTAAAAAGACATATGCAACCAACTGTTGAACATTTGAAAAGTTTGGGAAACCTAGGTCATGTTTCTGTCATTGAGACCTACTTTATGGTTTCAGTTTTTACATGAAAAAAATGGTAGTTGAGTAAGGCACATGCCTGTAATCCTAGCACTAGAGAGGGTAAGGGAAGATAGTAGCTGAATTTAAGGTAGCCTAGGTGATACATGGAGACTGTTTCAATTAAAAACTAATCTGCTTATTGGGGTTGGGGATATAGTTCAGTGATAAGGTGCTTGCCTAGGGTTTGAGGTCCTCTGACAGATTACCAACACTATACTCTATGGATGATTGTTAGGAACCAAACCTGGGTCCTCTATAAAAATAGCCAGTGCTCTTAACAGCCGAGTCATCTCTCCAGCCCCACAAAAATTTGTTCTTTCTGAGAAATGGCCTCCCTGTAGCCCCAGCTAACCTGGAACTTGTTATATAGTCCAGGCTTGTCTTGATCTCACAGAAATGTGCCTGCCTCAGCCTCCAGAGTGCACAGATTAAAGGCATGCACCATCACACCTGGCTCACAAAAATCTATTCTTAACAGCCATAGAAATGTTCAATATTAGAATGGTAATAAAAATTTTATGTTAAGATGAGTATGACTAAATAAATGCTAATGGTAACTGTGTGGGAAATGTACTGTCCTTCTTATCAAAGGATTAAGTAAGACAAAAGCATATAAAATAAAAACTGCAAAGCCACTTGGCAGAAACTCAAATTCCTCTCAGGTCAGCACTTTCTGAAATTAAAATATAAGTTCAAGGTTCTACTTGGTGCTGAAAATTGTATTCTGCTTATCAACTTCTGAGTTCTCATGACTTAAGAGTAAAGCATAGGACCCCCTTGCGTTAGGAATAAAAACCCAGTGGGACCTCTGCAGGTATGCTTGCCTGCTTGATTTGAGATGATGAAACACCCTTCTGCAGAAGTAAAACTTTTTGTTTTCTCAAAACACTCTGGATTTTTTAGTCATTTTCTTAACAGCCAACAGTCTTAAAGTGACACTGGAATGTAACAGTAACTGGCTACATTGACTGCAAATACTGTTGAGTTCTCTCTTGCTGACTAAATGAAGGTTAGTTATATCATCACAGAGTATACTCAATTTTATAAAATTTTGGTACAGTAACTTTTGTTTTAGGGTGTTGGGGCTTGAACTCAGGGATGTGTGCATCCTAAGCATGCCTCTACTGCTGAGTTACCTCTGCAGTCCATGCTATGAAGGTGAACGAACCACTGAGGTGTGAGTACCACCAAAGCCCATACTAATTTATACTCAATTCCTTGCTTCTACTGGAGCAACTATAAAAAAAAATCACTAACTTCCTTGCAGTTAAGTAAACAAACATTTTTAAGGAACTATTGAGTACTTAATGTTCTGTATCATTTTAAAAAGCTTCCACTGACAAGTCTTTCCTTTCCACATAGTCCTTGCATCATTCTAGGTACTATTCTCAGAACCAGTCTCAGGCCCATGCTCTTCTTCCTCAAGCAAGGGTTACAGATCTCAGAAAGACACTATGTGGAAGAAGTGGTCAGTGTCATTACTCCTCACTCCAGAGGAATGGCCAGAAATGTATCTGCTATTCACATCCCATATCAAAAGCCAACATTTTTAGGAACATTCTGAAAAGTAGAATACCAAAACCTACAACAGGGGCTGTGGACAGATAATGGTTAAGAGAACGTGCTGCTTTTGCAGAGGACCAGGGTTCTGTTCCCAGCATTTACATGGTGGCTGGGAGCCACCTCTAATTTCAATTTCATGAGATCCAACACTCTCTAGTGGCCTCCACAGGTACCAGGCACACAATGTGCACTTACATACATACTAGTAAGCAAAACATTCACACACATAAAACAAAAATCTAGGCAGGCGTGGTGGCAAATGCCTTTAACCCCAGCACGTGAGAGGGAGAACTCTGAGTTCTAAGCTAGCCAGGGCTATATATATGGTGAGACCCTACCTCAAAAACAAACAAAAAACCCACAATAAAATGGGGATTATTAAGGAAAAGAATGGTATTATAAAGTGAACCTTTTGGAAGTAGTCTCTCGTTTATACCATGCTACATATTCTGAGCTAACTGGGTGAATCTCCTGTCTCTAGCTCGAATCTTATCACAGGAGTGCTAGGATCACAGTCATAGGCCACTGCATTGGGCTCCAGGGATTGAGCTCAGGTTGCCAGGTTTATAGGGCAAGTGCTTTTAACAGGAAAAGTCATCCCAGGCCAGCTCTTGCTCTTTTCTCTTAATATACTTTTTGGCTAGGTATGGTGGCACATGGCTTTAATCCCAGCATTCTGGAGCCAGAAGCAGAAACAGGCCCATTTCTGTGAGGCCAGCCTGGTCTACATAGTGAGTTCCAGGAGACCCAGGGCTATGAGACCCTGCCTCAAAAAGACAAAAATAAATGAGTAAGAGAAAAGTCACCATTAGTTTATTATAGAGCCAGAACACCTTGGTTTTTTTGTTTTGTTGTTTTTTTTACCTGATAATGTATTCTGGGGAGCCCAGATTACAAAATCATTAAAAACTATTTTAAATATTTTTTATTTATTATTATTTATGTGTATGAGTATATTGCCTACATGTATGTAAATACACCCATGTCATGCAATGACCACAGAGGTCAGAGGAGGACATCAGATCCCCCGGAACCTGGAGTTATGGGTGGTTGTTATCTGTCATGTGGGTGCTGGGAACCAAGCTCTGGTCTTCTGGTCAGTGCTCTTAACCACTGAGCCATCTCTCCAGTCCCTACTCCAGCTTTCTTAAGACAGTACTGTACACAATATGTCCTGTATAAAAATCTCCCAGAGAAAGAAGAATTTTTTTAAAAAGGAGAGAAGGGGGAGGTGCTGGAGAAGATTTCCCAGAGCAGGGCATGGTGATACACACCTTTCCTTTAAAAAATTTTAATTTCGGTAATTAAAGGGGCTCCTTTTTGAAGATGTCAGTTTCAAAATACTTACTACAGTGTATCTGGAGGACCAATAATAAGGACTTCCCATCGATAGAGATCATTGTCATCTATTAAACCTGCTGAAAATCCTTCCACTGGATTTTTGTTGAGTTCTGTGGAAAAAGAAAAGTCCAATCAAAACTTTCAGATAAATTACAGAACTTGAACATTAATTTTATAAATTCTAAACTATCAAAACACTGCCAAATGACCAAAATATTTCTGTACTACAAGGAAGCCATGGGTAACGCAAACTATCCAGAAGATGGACCTCTATAGTCCTCTAGTCTTCCCACATCTACTCTGGTGTCCAGTCAAGCACTTGCTATTCTAGAGAACTTGTTAAGATGTAAATACCCAGTCGGGCATGGTGACACAGGCCTTTAATCCCAGCACTTGATACACAGAGGCAAGAGTTCAAGGCCAGCTTGGTCTACATAGTTGAGTTCCAGACCAGCTGGGGCTACTGGGAGACCCTATTTCAAAAAAGATTTGAGAGAGAGAGAGAGAGAGAGAGAGAGAGAGAGAGAGAGAGAGAAATACCCAAGATCCTTCTTCAGAGATTTTTGTTCAGGAAAAACCAAAAGTCAATCAAAAAATAAGTCTTTGCTATAGCTTTTAGGCAATACTTTCAGAAACTTAGTAACAAAGCACCTAACAACATCTTTTCATTGGAACTGACTTGAGCTTTACCAAGTCTTTCTTACACTAACATCAGTATATTTAAGTATATATTATTTGGCATGATGCCTACAGATAGGTATGTCCATCTTCAGGTGGTATTCCTGTGAGGCTCATCAACACTCAGCATGGGGAAAAAAGAGGCTCTATCTCTTCTGCTTGTGTGTGTTGACTCCTTATCAACAGCTTTCAACAGGAGAAGCTTTCTAAGAATAGCTGTTGCTTACAGAAATGGCAACAGTATTATGAGATTTTTCTCTTCAAAACAGTGTTCTGAGAGAAAATGGATAATGTGGGTCAGGGGTAAAAAAAAAAAAAAAGAACAGAGGCAAGAAATTAGTGAAGTAGGGAAACAAAGATCATCAAGGAGCAGGTGAGAAGGGGCACAAAGCCTGAACAATTTAGAGACAAAACTTTATAATAAAGTAATGACTGTGACAGCGGAGGATCACATAAATCTCCAAATAGTTTTTAGGAGGTTTAACTGGTGAACTGAACTTAAAACTATATAATCTCGTAAGTACTAATATGCCATGACAATTGAACCCACAACCACAATTATGAAAGTATATCACTAGCAAAACTATTTATTGTTTTACTTGCCAAGAGAGTTGAGGGCTAATGGTTCAGATTTGGAAATGAGGCCAAAACTTGTGTAAGAGGAGCAGTTCAGAAAGGACTTGCCAGGAATCTGAGCACTCAGGTACATGATTCTCATATAACACCTGCTATCATCCTCAAGTCAGGCCATCTAATCATAGAAGCAAGTGTAATACAACACAGAATACTATAAAATGCCGAACAAAGTATGCTTGTAACTGAGAAGGTAGTAATTTTTAAGCAATGAGATGGAACTTTCAACAACTAGGATTTCATACACTGATATCAGGTCCATCTTCATTTGTCAACCTAACTGGGTTTGGAATCACCTAGGAAACATGTACCTAAGCATGTCCGAGGATGTTTCCAGAGCAGTTTAACTAAAGAGAAAAGATTCATCCTGAATTTATGTGATGCCATCCTATGGGCTGGGGTCCAATACTGCATAAAAAGGAAAAAGAGAGCAAACAGCACCAGCCCACCTCTCTCTCCGTCCCCTCCCTTCTTTCTCTCCCTCCCTTCCTCTCTCTCTGTCCTAACTATAATCAGGAAGGACCAGCCATCTCACACTCCTACCACCATACCTTCCTAGATGTAATGTACTACATTCCATTGAATCATAAACTGAAATAAACCTTTCTTCCTTAAGTTGCTTTTATCAAGTATTTTGTCATAGAAACATGAAAACAATTAAATGCACACCCCAACATACCAACCAAACTAATAAAGCAAAGAATGAAAAAGGATATTTTTTAACTTTTAAGAGAAAATTTTTAAAAAATATTTTATTTTTATTTTACGTGTATGAGTGTATTGCCTGCGTGTATGTGAGTGCATTTGTGTCATGCAATGCCTCGGAGGTCAGAAGAGGGCTTCAGATTCCCTTGGAACTGGAGCTAAGGACAGTTTGTAGCCGCCATGTGGGTGGTGGGAATTGAACCCGGGTCCTCTGCAAGAGCAGTCAGTGCTCTTAACCACTGAGCCATCTCTCTAGCCCCAAGAAGATTTTTTTTTTTTTCATTACAGCAGCATTGACATATTCAATAACAATTTCCAGAGCTCAGATGCACCTTCTTCAAAATTGGGAGATTTTTTTTTTAAGTCTAATAGGCAGAGCAAAATTATAAACAGCTAAACTGAGTACAACATCTTAAAGCACAAGGTGTGTATTTTTACTTTTAAGTAGCTTTTTAAAGATTTTTTTTAAAGATGAAACTGGAGAGATGGTTCAGTGGCTAAGAGCACTTACTGCTCTTCCGGAAGACTCAGGTTTGGTTCCTAGCACCCACATGGCAGCTAACAACTGTTGAAATTCCAGTTCCAGGGCAATCTGATGCCTTGTTCTGACCTCCGTGGGCACTGCACAGTGCTGGTGCACTTCCACACATGCAGGCAATACACTCATATACATAAAATAAAAATAAATTAGCCGGGTGTGGTAGGCACGCCTTTAATTCCACCACCTGGGAGACAGAGGCAGGTAGATTTCTGTGAGTTCAAGGCCAGCCTGTTCTATAGTGAGTTCCAGGCCACCTGGGGTTACAGGTAGACCCTGTCTCAAAAAGACAAAAAAGAAAGTAGATGTGATGACTTCAGTAAGTTTAAAAGATACTTTAATAAATGATGAAAAGGTTTTGAAATTAGCGCTAATCGCTGAATAACTTGTAAATACATACTAACCAGCACTGAATAGTATACTTGATGATATATATTTAATAAGTGTATACTGTGTGAACTTCATCACACTTTTAAAAAAATATTTTATTATTTTTATTTTATGTGCATGAGTGTACTGCCTGCATGTATGTAGTGCACCTGTGTCATGCAATGCCTGTGGAGGTTAGAAAGGGCGTTGGAGTCCCTGGAACTGGAGTTATGGACAGTTGTTAGCTGTCATGTGGGTGCTGAGACCAAACCCTGATCCCCTGCAAGAGCAGCCAAGTACTCTTAGCTGTTGAGCTCTCTCTCCAGCCCGCCATCTCACTTTTTAAAATGACACAAAGCTACTAAAATGAAACATGGGAGAAGGTACTTGTTCAAAGAGTGAGAGGAGGAAACAATGAGTTTAGTTGTAAATACGAATAGTGTATACACATTATGTGAATGTTAGGGAGGGGATTTCATCCTACAGACTGAACCCAGAGCCTTCAGCAAGAGCTCTATCACTGAGCTATGTCCTCAGCAAAATACTGCTTTAAAAAATATATATCTAGGTTCAGTTCCCAGCACCCACATGGCAGCTAACAACCACTTGTAACTCAGTTCCAAGGGATCCAGTGCCCTCTTCTGCCCTTGCAGACATAGCACACACACAGTGCCCTTAAATAAATGCAGGCAAAATACTCATATACATAAAATAAAAATAAATCACAAAAATTTTAAGGAAATTAGATAATAATTATGACTTGGGGCTATGATTAATTTGATGACCATCACCCTAGGAGAAGCACAGGAATATAGAGGAGAGGGTACAACTGGAGGATTATAGGGACTATCAATATTTGGGAAGATGAAAAAAAGAGTGCACAAGTGACTGAAAAGGATACACCAAAGAAGAAACCAGGATATTTATAACAAAGAAGCCAAGGGATCTGTGGCAAGGAGAAAACAGTCAACAATGATAAACAAATACTTCTAAGGAATATGGGGGAGGGGTTCTATCTAAATTCAGTCCATGGAGTTCAGCAAGAAAGCCAAAACTGCCCTCAGCATAAACTGCTTCAGTATAATGAATGGTTAAAGTTAAATCCACACAAGCAACACTGAACTGAGAAAAAGAAGGTGAAATGGAAAACTACAAGTAAAATTTTGTTCTCAAAAGTTTGATGGTGAAAAGTATACTAAGTTTTTTTTTAAAGCAAGTTTTTTTTTTTTAATTTTGTTTTTTGAAATAGAGTCTTGCTATATAGATAGCCCTGATTGGCCTTAAACTTCTGTCTTCCTGCTCTGTACTAAGATCATAGGCATGTAGAAACTTGAGTTTTCTTTTGTTCTTGTAAAACAGGGTCTCATGTAGTCCAGGCTGGCCTTGAACTCCTAAACCTCTTTACCTTCACCTCCCAAGTGCTGGGATTAGTGCCATAGACGTTATACCTGTTTATGTCTGTAGCCTATTTAGAAGATAATTTTTCTTTACATATTCATGAGTGGAGGTGGCCTTCATGAGCAGGACATAAAATTCAACACTGACCGGTTTTATTTTGGCTTTTTTTTTTTTTTTTTTTCCAGTATTTTTGAGACAGGGTCCCCAGCTGACCTGGAACTCATGATGTAGACAAGGCTGGCCTTGAACTCAGAGAGATCTGCCTGTCTCTGCCTTCTAAGTGCTAGGACTAAAGGTATGCACCACCACACCCAGCAACAAGATATTTAAGAGCAGTTCAGCAGTAGTTTTAATTCAAATGGCAGTATACAATAAAGTACCCGTAAATAAAAGTCTAATTATGCTAGTACAAATAGAGCTTGGGTAAATCAGAAGAGGAAGCATGCAAAACAAATTGGAAGGCAAGGACATAAACAGCTTACAAACATTAAACACCCAGCCTACTCAAGCCACATTCTTTTTTTAAAAAAATCATTATTATTACTTTATGTGTAGGAGTGCATTGCCTGCATGTATGTGAGTACACCGTGTCGTGCAATGCCACGGAGGTCAGAAGAGGGCACTGGAGTTAAGGAAGGTTCATAGCTGCCATGTGGGTGCTAGGAATTGAACCCCAGTCCTCTGCAAGAGCGGTCAGTGTTCTTAACCGCTGAGCCATTTCTCTAGTCCCTTAAGTCACATTCTTAAACCAAAGGCCCACACTTGGGTTTGCATTTGTATTCCTAAAGT